CAAAATGATCCGACACCAGACTGAGACAGGACAGGGTTTAAATACACAGACCTACTAATTGATGAACTGAAAACACCTGGTGAGAAACACGAGGGTGACAATCAGACAGACAGGGAGCAGCTGAGCTGTGACACACTGGGGAATACTGAAAACACTAGAAAACTAAGAAAATAAAACACAGATCCTGACAGCGTCCTTGTCAAACTTGTTTGTTGCAATTCTCAACTGGCGTTGTCGAGTTGCTAAAAATAAATCTAAAACCCATCCATCTTGCCACATTTGGCATTGTCGGTAGGATTCACCATTCGACACATACTTGATTTCATTTTTTTTTCTTTTCTGGTTTGCAATCATTAAAGTTTACTGTTTTATATTCTTTTGTGTAGAAAGACAAGACAGCAGTAGTGGTCCACAAGAAAATACTGGCAGTTCAGTATTTATTTTCATATTTTTTGACTAATTATTTGTTTGATCTTGAAGCAGGTTGTCTTCTGCCATTATGGAGGAGGGAGCGTGGTGTCTGGGAGATGGTGTGGTTCTGAAGGGGACAGACAGTGAGAGGTTGCCAGATGTTGCTCTCCAGGCTGTGGCTGGTGGTATCAGGCCTGCTGTTGTTCCTGTCATGGTCTGGTTGGCATGGGTCCTATGGTGTCCACAGATGCAGAGAGCAGTTTTCAAATACACTGTGTCTTCGGGGATCTGATTGCCCTCGGCTATATCATTGGTTGCAGCTAATGGTCTTTCCAGCCCATATGTAGGGTATTTGGAGTTGGATGCCCACCTATGTGATAAGATAAGATAGAACTTTATTGATCCCACAATGGGGAAATCTGCACATTACAGCAACTCAAGACAGGGGAGCTGCAGTAACAGGTTGCCTACCGTGGCACCATCTTGAACAGAAAAAAAACTACAGAAAAACCACACAAGGGAAGATGAGGAAAAAAACAAAAACATTATATCAACACTCTGACACCCTATGCTGTTTATGAAAAAAAACCTCTGCATACGACTGATTTATTAGCCAGAGGAGTAAGTGAGTTTACCGGGGGGGCCCCGAAAAATCCAGTCCCCTAAACAAGCGCAGCCAAAGTTCAGAAGATTGATGGTACTGTTCATTCTGTGAGCCCCCAGCCTGCTCAGGAGACCAGAATCAAACGGGTGAGAGAGGAGAGGGGGGGCGTCTGGGCTTGAGCCTTGTTGACTTATCCAGCCAGGAAGAATTTAGTCAACAGATCAAGGCCATTGTCAGGGAGACCCAGATTATGTAATCAGTTGTTTTGGGAACAGAAGAGTCAGGCAGACGATAACAATTTTCCATCTGCCTTAATGTCTGCTGGTGCATCTCAAAGGTGGCGAATCCAATCAGACAAATAAAATGTGGACAAATTCTGCCGAGCCAGTCCATCAGCTTCTCCAAGATCAATTCCATCTGGCCAGCAAAGTCCAGGGACCACAGCCAGCCCGCGACCCCCAATAGAACTTCTTGCAGGCCGAGTCCAGCTCGCTCAAGGCAAAAAGTCCGAGTGCTGATAGTGTACGGCCATCCATCAAATTTGACAGGCAGATAGGGTGCTTCTGAGCTTTAAGGGCCTGAAGCCCTTGAGTGGTAAGAATAACTGAGTTTAGTTCAGGTATATTTGTCCATCGTCGGGGCAACGATGCAACACCGCGGGGTGGGATGTGGTGAGATGGTGTTAAACCATCACCACTGTGTGCAGCAGGTGTTGCTCAGAGCACAGCCCTGATTGATGGGCGTGGCAGACTGCTATATATTTGGGCAGTTTGCTGTTCCTTGACTGAGATTCTGTTGTTCCTGCTGTGTGTGTGGCAGGTGGTCACAAAACCTGCTCATCTGTGTAAGTGCCATTTCTGACGAGGTGGTTTTGTTGGTTTTCAAGTGTTACACCTGCTGAATGTTTCCTGTAGCACTGTTTTGCTGGCTGCAGCCAGGATTGTTTGCAGCATATGGCTTCCTCCTGCTGCTGTTCTGTTGGACCTCTGTCCTCTGGAGTCTGCGCTTCTGATTCCTGGTAAGATACCTGCCATTTAGATGTCAATGATTTTATTGTTTATTTGAATAGTTAATGTAACTGGTCTTGTAGGCTTGTGCTCTGCACTACCGTGCGTAATGCTTTGACATGCAGTGAAAGCTCTGATGCGCCGGGACGCTCTGCTGTCTTGTCTTGTCGTTCCTGTTTGGATTTTATTGCAGTGATCAGCCTGCTTCACCACTGCTGCTACTGCTGATCCAACAGCTAAAGGACTGAACAGTAACTGCTTCACCTCAGT